TTTTCAACTTATTGGACGTATCTCATGATATTAAAAGTTGTGATAACGAACCGATTTTTTTTTTGTATAACAATATCACAAATGCCATGTGTTGGTGATCTTCAAATGCCACGGAACAAAATATACACCGCAACAGAATTAACCCATAGCTCAAAAGTAATCGTAGTCCTGATAGAAATAGTAGACCAGCAGTGTTTCTTTCAAACTTATTTCTCCGGGGCGGCACTTGAATTTTTCGGAGAGGGGGGGGGGGCGGACACTGTTAAAAGTATATATTTCTATATAAATTCCATTTTGTTTTGGGGGGGGGGGGGCGGTGGACTAGGGTAGCCCCCCCCCCTCCCCCCTCCCCCCTGGAAGAAACACTGCAGACCAGGAACCCAGCGCTAAAATCAACGCATTGGCCATTCTGCGCGCTTTAATTAATGAATGAAAAACAAACCATCAAATGTGAAGCATTAGGTGCCCCATTATGTCTAAAGTTTTACGGGGCACCGCAGTGAGTAACACAGCCGGAAGGCAACAGCAATGAGGTACCTTGATGGGTGAAGTAAAAATATGAATTGTGTACTTTATATGGGAGGTTGGATGCTGTTTTTTTTGTGTATGTGGACGGGGTGTTATGTTAGGATTTTGTTATTGAGCCTTGATCAAATTAGTGCGTAGAATGGTAGAACAGTGCAAAATGCTTGGATATCGAGACAAAATAGATGTTGTTTTGATTCTGACAAAAATAGTTTTTATATCTAAACTCAATGATGAGTTATTACGATATTAAGAGAACATAATGTACTATTTTGACATCTAGATAAAATTACTTTAGTCTTTTTACTTTCTCGTATACGAAGCAAAGAGGAAGTATTGTAATCGTGCAAAAAAAAAATCGAGATTTTTTTGTTATAATTAGAGAAAATAACTTGTGTTGTATTCATATCTAAAAAAACTAACGCAAGTAAGTTTGATAGTTTTACAGTAACATCGAGTAGAGTTTGACATATAGTGTAATTAATTTTTTCCGCATATCTAGCAGACAAAAAAGTGGAGAGTTACACAAACAAAAACAGAACCCCCTCCCCTCACACACACTCGCACTCACGTACCCACACCAAAACAAAATAAACAAAATGACGCAGAAACTTTTGGCACTCTATCGATCAACGATTACCGATATGTTATTGATCGAGGCTTAGTTTACGGATGTGTTCATTACAGTGCAGTTAAAAGTACATTTCATAGCCATATAGGATGTACACAACTTAAAGTAGAAGTGAACGGCAACATCGTTTTTTATACATTCTTTCGGTTTATCTATCAAATATGTTTTATATTTTAACTTTTATTTAATTTTTATATTTATTTATTTTTATTTTTTTTATTTTTATTTTTTTTTTACTTTTAAATGGCTTAAATATATAAACAAAAAAAACGTAAATTCTTAATCAGAAACACGTTGGTAGTTACACCGTTTAAAGGGAATTACTTTTTCAGTGACTAGTTCGACAAACAAACACATTTAAACACACAGACACCGCCCTGCTAACATAATTTTAATCTTCTAATTGTTTTTATACCCATTTTTATACCCATTGTTTTTATACCCATTTTATACAAGCCTCGTAATACTTTACTGGCCGAGACCAATGTTTCTTTTAAACATTTTTCTGTGGGAGGTGGGCGTGGCTTTAAAATTGTGGGGGGGGGGAAGAGAAACTCTGACCTGTCCAACATTGACCCGAGTTTTCGTTTTGTTTCGTTTAAAGAAAGAAGATGGTATAGTCTTCTGTGTCTTATGCTGATTTTTTGGGCCCTGATTGTTTTTTATAAACTGAAATGTCAATTTAAATGTATTTGCACATCTAATATAGAGATGTATATGCTACGATTGACAGTTTATTTATATCAAAATTGTCATACATAAGAATTAATAACTGTTATTAATTATTTAATTAAACTGTTAGTAATTATTGATCAGTAGTAATAGCACGGCGTGTTTGAATGGTCTATCATACAACTGCTAACTTGAGAGTTTGAATCCGGGTTCAAGTCCGTAGAATGTCTCTTAGTCAACCCAGCTCTGATGGGTACCTAACTCACATTTGGGAAAGTAAAGGCGGCTGGGCATAGTACTGTGAACACACTACCCCTTCATATGTCGAGGTCACAGAAACAGGTGAACTCTACTTCACCTGCCGCATGGACCGTTAGGTTCGAGAGGGAGACTTACTTTTTTTTTTAACTTTAATTAGCGTTAGGTGCCACCCGTCAACGTGTGTACTGTTTCAGTACTGATCTCCTGTGACATACGAATCTAACGTAAACGGCGATCAGCTGTGGCGTAGCGAGGTCCAGTGTCACCCGGTGCGGCACTTAACGGTGTCACCTCGCAGGGGGGGGGGGGGGGGGTAGCGACCCTTCCGGGGACAAACTTTCAATTTGCACCACCCCTCCCCCCCCCCATACTTACGATTTGCACCCCCCCCCCCCCCCCCCAACTCAAACTTTCGATTTGCACCTCTTAAAACACAATTTAATACTCGAATTAATCACTCAATTAAGTGGAATTATCATTTTTCTCTATATATTTTTGCTATTTTTTGCCTTGGTGTCACCCCCCCCCCCCTAAATGGTGTCACCCGGTGCGGTCCGCACCCTCCGCCCCCCCCCCCCCAAACTACGCCTCTGGCGATCAGGCTAATTTTGGTTCCCATGTCCGTGACGTCACACAACGGGTCAGCCTTAGCCAATTGACAGGGCACAGCTGATCGAAGCTTTTCATCGATTTCTTCAGAAAACACCGGAAGTGACTCCATTGAGGAGGGGTAACCGGGGAAAATAGAAGCAATTAGGGGCAGACGAGTCGGCTGGCGGTGATTCTCTTATCTCCCCGTTGTGGTACGCTCCGGTTCCTTGTTATGCTAAACGACCATAACACTAACCCTTACGACATTTGTACTGTCACCTACCCAGGGGCGCTCGAAGGATTTTTTTCACATCAGTGGTAGCACCGCAATGTCACTTCAAAATAATAAAAGCTAAACCGTTTATTACATTATATATATATATATATATATATATATATATATATATATATATATATATATATATATATATATATATATATATATATATATATTGTATATATGTGTATATATATATAATGTATGTATATTTATATATATATTTTTTATTTATAAATATATATACTTACGTACATATATATGTATATATATATATATGTATATATATGTATATATATGTGTATATATATATATATATATATATATATATATATATATATATATATATGGGTGTAAGTCTGGCATTATGTACAAACAAGCCCTAGGCATGATGGTGTAGTGGCCGAATAATGTCCACTATCTTGATATCGCAAAATGAGTGAGCGGTCCGTCACCACTAGAATCTAGGGAGTAGCATCGTCAACTAATTGGAAACAAACCAGTTGATCAGAGTGGACACTTCACTAATTAACGCTTGGTGCTTATCTCTGTCGCGATCCTAAAACGTATCAACTTTTATAACTTTCAACGAGCACTATCAACTTTTCAATCTTAACCCCCTTTGAGCTTATCAATGCATTTTAAACTAATCTATTTTGACCCTTTAGACCTCATTTTTAACACTCCTGTTCTTCTGAGTACATAACCTTGAAAACCACCCTAATCTTACCCAGACCCCACTAGACCATTGCAGTAGCCATCAACTTCATCCCCATATACCCCCCCCCCTTTTTCCCCAAAAAGATCTGCATTGGAATTTAATTTCCCCTGGATAAAAATAAACCCAACGCTGGCTTAGAAGAAAAAAAATGTCCACATCAACAAGGATTGCATGACAAAGCTCGCGAGGACCCTCGTCTGCCACCTCCGTCGTCTGCCCGTGAAGTGTGAGTGGTGCTTGACTCAACTACACCAATTCCAACATCACTGGGGTGGGCTTTTTTTTTTTAATGGCTCCAGTATTTATTGCCTGAATTTGTCGTAAAGTCTAAATTTTATTTTCTGACTCGGTCTAGCCTGCAAGCTATATCTCTCCAACGATTGTGCTGATGCAAGATTTTCAAGAATTATTTTGAGGAGTATTTCTTTGGTAAGTTGCGCTCTGTTTACCTAGTTTAATGTTAGGTATGTAAGTTAAGACAATAAGGGGCGGCGTGACCTAGTGGTAGAGCGCCAGACTGCTAACCTGAATGTCACGAGTTCAAATCAGTAGAAAGTTTTTGAGTCCACCCAGCCCTGATGGATACCTAACTCACGTTAGGGAAACAAAGGCTGCTGGGCATAGTGTCGAGGTCAGCGAAGGAGATTAACTCTACTTCCTCTGCCTCCTGTGTCTTGGGTGTAGACGGAAAAAGATGATGATGTACGACAATTTCAGAAAACGTGAACGTTTCATTCTAGTGGTTGCTTTTTTGTACTACCGTTTTAAAGTAACGATTATTTTTTATCAAAATGTTGCCAATCAATTCTAATAAAATGATTTGTTTTGGTGTTTATTTTTAATTTAGCAGATCATAAAAAAAATGTTAATTAACGCATGATAAGATAATGTGAGCCTCATGTGAGAAAATATTTTATGTTTGTGGTCCTTGGTTTTTTTTTTTTTTTTTTTGGTTTTTTTTTTTCAGGTTCAAGAAGTCAATATTTTACTCTTGCAGACGCGGTCAAAGTAAAAGGCATAAAATCACACTTTGATAGTTTAAAAAAAAATAATTTGATAAATTGATAGAATGTTATTGTGTCTTTCAATTATTATTGTATTAATTTTAATTTAAGCTTTGTAGATTTTAAAGCTGTAACTTCCTTTTCAGAATGGGCTTACAACTAATGTTTGTAGGTAGAGTGGCGCCCTATTTATATAGGTAGGACGGCGCCCTATTTATGTAGGTAGGACGGCGCCCTATTTATGTAGGTAGGGTGGCACCCTATTTATATAGGTAAGGTGACGTACGTATATCTCTTCTATGAACAGACTCGACCACCATGAGCAGACGACAGGACTGCCAGACGTCTAAATTCAAGCACGTGCTCCCCGGTCAACACGTCTATGACGGCGTGCTCTTCTTTGGGTACTCACCCCCAGACACGCTGGACAAGGTCAAGGCTTTTCAAGTCCGGCCCGATGACGTCTTTATTGTCACCTATCCTAAAGCAGGTAAACATTTTAATCTAACATAGGGCAGGTTAAGTAGATTTCGTCTGTTTCATTACCAAGGTAAAGGGGGTTAGCATTATTTACTTTCCCTAACGCGAGTCAGGTGGACTCAGGTACGACTTACAGACACTCAGTATCCTTACCACTAGATCAGCCGCTCCACTTATTTTACTAAAATACAAGTACATAATCTCATGATCATTTTCCCGTTCGTGCCCAAGACACATGGGGCTGTTGAAGTAGAGTTTATCTGTTTCAGAGACCTCGGCATATTAAAGGTTAGTTTGGTCAGCACGATGCCTAGTCGCCTTTTTTTTTTCCTAACGTGAGTTAGGTACCCATCAGAGTTGGGTGGGATGTTCTACTGACTTGAACCCGGATTCGAACTCGAGACTTTCGGGTCAGCAGTGTAGCTCTCTACCGCTAGGCAATACAAGTATATTGGTCAGAAACTCTTGTCTTTCACAAAAACTAGCAATACTTTTTCAAATTGCTTAACCATAATTAAATTTTAATTAACAGGAACATAAAACCACAATTGCCGTTGGCACCATGTCACATGACCTGTAGACTGTGTTATCTTACCTGGATTTCCCCAGGCACCACGTGGATCCAGGAAATCACCTGGCTGCTGATGCATGACGGGAACTTTGAGGGTGCCATGGCAACGCCTGTGTACCTGAGGTCACCTTTCTTAGAGTTCAAGGACTTAATTCTAAACGAGGTCGGCCTTGACCTAGCCGAGGCTGCCTCGTCCCCCAGGGTGATCAAAACCCACCTGCCGTCAAAACTGGCACCGGCGGAAATACACGAGAAAAAACCGAAGGTTTGATTTTTTATTAATTATGCAAATTCCAGTTTTCATTTAACAAATTATTTTTTTACTGAAGTGTGTCAACGTATTTCTTTGAAATTCTCTTTTGTTTTAGAATTAAATTAGTACGGACCTAATGGATTTTTAAAAAATGTTTTGTTTTCTATTTAGGTGATCTTGTTTTTTAGAAACCCTAAAGATTTGTGCGTTTCGTACTTTCATTTCTACAAGAGCAGTTCGTCTTTTGGGGATTTCAAGGGTGATTGGTCAGAGTTTTTAGAGATGTTTTGTGAAGGACACGGTAGGTCAAAAAAACTTTTTGTAGCCTTTTATATATATATATATATATATATATATATATATATATATATATATATATATATATATATATATATATATATATATATACTTCAATAATATAATGAATAATAAAAAGGTTTACGACACAAATAACGATACACAAAACTTAACACACTCCACGTCCTCCTCCAAAACAACAGGACAACAAACTGCCACACACCCTAGCACACGCTCTGTCACCAGTCAGCTGACAATCCTCACGTGAACAGCTCAGCTCCATGTAAACACATTCAACCAAGGGCTACAACTATACACAAAAAGAGGGTACCTGTCATTCCAGCACACACAACACACACACACACACACACACACACACACACACATACAATCATGAGGAAGCTGCATGTGAGAGACATAACAATAAAATGGGGAAAGTAAAAAACGATTGTGCCGTTTACAAGTAAAATACCTTTCAAAAACATAAACTCTACTTCCTATAGTCCAGGTGTCAAGATGACCTGTATTCCTAACTGCCAAAGAACCCTAACTCATGTTTATCTGACTTAAAGTCATGACTTCTAAAGACACAACGTTACGTGTTACATTTTATACGTGACATATCAAGTGTATAAACAAAGCCATGTCTTCTATGCCTTACTTTATAAGTAAAACAGTAATGTCTAAAGTAATGTCTAATTAAAACCTGACATATATACAGCAGCATCCAGAAGTGGTAGATTGTTTACAACTAAAACCAATACAGCTCATTTACGTCCACCCCCCCCCCACGACCCCCCTACCCCTATGACTATGGAACGGCGTGGCTTAGCGGTAGAACGCAAGACTGCTAACGCGAGTTCGAATCCGGGTACAAATTAGTAGAATTTTCCAGAGTCCACCCAGCTCTAATGGGTACCCAACTCGCGTTAGGGAAAACAAAGACGGCTGTGCATATTGCTGACCACACTGTCCCTTCATATGTCGAGGGTACCTGAAACATTAACTCTACATCATCTGCCCCATGTGTCTTGGGCACGAACGGAAATAGATTATGATATTGAAAATATACTAACCAGTATCCGCCCCTGTTCCGGAAACTAAAATCCCCAGCCCCCAACTAAAACTACAAGCCCCCCCCCCCCCCCCACCGTCACTAGAAATACAAGCCCCCACCCCTACCCACCAAAGTTACACCCCCTCACCGCATTAAGTGTCTGAAAGAAACGAACTATCTGCCCGTATGTTTCAGTGGACCACGGCTCGTGGTTTGAGTTCACGAGAAGCTGGTGGACCCAGAGGGACCTGGCCCATGTCAAGCTGGTTTATTACGAGGACATGAAGAAGGCGAGTATCCTACCGTATTTAATCCATTAGTATCCTACCATTACCAACACCTACCTCTATTTAATCCATTAGTATCCTACCGTTACCAACACCTACCTCTATTTAATCCATTAGTATCCTACCGTTACCAACACCGTCGCCTCTATTTAATCCATTAGTATCCTACCGTTAGCAACACCGTCGCCTCTATTTAATCCATTAGTATCCTACCATTAGCAACACCGTCGCCTCTATTTAATCCATTAGTATCCTACCATTAGCAACACCGTCGCCTCTATTTAATCCATTAGTATCCTACCATTAGCAACACCGTCGCCTCTATTTAATCCATTAGTATCCTACCGTTAGCAACACCGTCGCCTCTATTTAATCCATTAGTATCCTACCATTAGCAACACCGTCGCCTCTATTTAATCCATTAGTATCCTACCATTAGCAACACCGTCACCTCTATTTAATCCATTAGTATCCTACCGTTAGCAACACCGTCGCATCTATAATCTGTTTAATCCATTAGTATCCTACCGATCTGTTTAATCCATAAGTATCCAACCGTTACCAACACCGTCGCCTCTATCTAATCCATTAGTATCCTACAATTACCAACACCGTCGCCTCTATTTAAGCTATTAGTATCCTACCGTTACCAACACCGTCGCCTCTATTTAAGCCATTAGTATCCTATCGTTAGCAACACCGTCGCCTCTGTTTAATCCATTAGTATCCTACCGTTACCAGCACCTACCTCTATTTAATCCATTATTATCCTACCGTTACCAACACCGTCACCTCTATTTAATCCATTATTATCCTACCGTTACCAACACCGTCACCTCTATTTAATCCATTAGTATCCTACTGTTACCAACACCGTCACCTCTATTTAATCCATTAGTATCCTACCGTTACCAAATATCGTCGCCTCTATTTAATCCATTAGTATCCTACTGTTACCAACACCGTCGCCTCTATTTAATCCATTAGTATCCTACTGTTACCAACACCGTCACCTGTATTTAATCCATTGCTTTCCAAACGTGTTTCCCTTTTCAAACCTATAGGCCTATATCTTGGCGCTTACCCCTACACACATCCCATGATACATACTATTACATACTCATATACATCATATATATATATATATATATATATATATATATATATTATCTATGTATATTTAAATACATAAATTTGTATTTGTGTATTATATATTATTATAAGTATGTATTATACATATACAATAAAAAACTATCTTATATATATATATATATATATATATATATATATATATATATATATATGTATATATATATATATATATATATATATATATATATATATATATATATGTATATATATATATATATATATATATATATATATATATTACAAAAATGATAGGTATTGTCCATTTCTTTTATTTCACAATGATTTTTACAAAAATAACTAGTCGGCTATACAGTAAGAATAAGTAGGCTACAGACAATTAAATAATTATTATAAAATAACAATTTGCCTTACATGTTTATTTGTAAAAATATTTGCGTCAACAGGATAGTAATTAAACAAATTTGTTTAATATTTTTACTTATTTATTTTTAGTCGATGAACATTACAGTTTAAAATAGATGTCCCAATTTAGGGAGCCAAAATGTTATTGGAATTTCAAGTGGGACTTAATAGTCTGAATAAATATTTCATAAATAATTAAAATTATTTAAGATATATCTAGGTTATAAGTTTTCAATTTAATAAAATATTTTTTGTATTTTTACATAAAAATAACCAATTGAGAGTTTCAAAATAAAACCTTAAAAACTGTTTGTTAAATTATATAACACGAATGTATTTTTATATTGATGTATTTGTACCAATTAATGTATGATTTATTTAATGGAATTGGTGATTATTTTAAAGTTGTTTCCCATTAAACGGCATGCATAGATTTACGAATGGGAGGTAATTCTATGCCATTAGTTCTAGCTGCTTCGAATTAAAACTTTCTACGAACGCCCTGCTTTCGTTGACTAATCACAGCCATAATATATAGATACTTTTATACATAGTGTGTAAACTGGTGGTTTTTATTTTTCATACATAAACATTTTTTTTAAAATTATTCGATTATCTGTTTTAAAAACTTTGCAGCTCTTTCGTCAATAAATGTTTCATTTCGAGGCGACTTGCGTGAGTTGTAAAGGGTAAATGTTTGACATATTTTGTGATCTTTATATAAATCACACACACAAAAAAAAAAAAAAAAAATATAAATCACACATACTTATTAATACAAATTATACAAGCATCGATTTTACGTTTATTGTTCAGTCGGAAATGGGAATGGCTGCTTATTTATTTATTTTCTAACAGAATATTTCTAGATCTATGATCTATGCAAAATTTAAAATATTTTATTAGACTTCATGTATTTTCTTAGAAGATTAGAAACTCTTTGTAGAAAAGTGGTCTATTTTATTTTGCCTCAGACATGTAATTTACAGCGTTAGTTTACATTGCCATGTTCGCTTTAGTATTACAGTTTTCATCATCGGCTTATGAGAGACTGATAATAGATTTACAGTAGTAATGCTTCTTAGTATTGGAAGGGATCCCCTCCAGCACAATTAAGTATACGTTTCATCTGGTTATGCGCCATTGAGGCCATGGACTCCGATTTCAGCCTGCTTTTCTTTTTGGATTTGCTTCCATAGCCTTTGTCCAAACAAGAACACACTACAAGGCAGCAGTTGTTTGATTTTGGATCTGTCTCTCATAGAAGAGTGTTTGTCCCCAGCTAACGAGCCTCATCTGCCCGAGGGTTCGAATTCGAGACTCGAGACTTCAAGTATTCGATTGTAGCCTCCCTTGAAAGTTTACCTTCCTATCTTTTCCTAGTCTAACAAAAACCATTTCACAGTTAGCCATAGAAGACATCCTTTGGCAGTGGCGTCGCTATATATATATATATATATATATATATATATATATATATATATATATATATATATATATATATATATATATATATATATATATATATATATATATATATATATATATATATATATAGGTGTGTGTGTGCGTGTGTGTGTATATGTTTGTGTGTGTGTGTGTCGCCCTACATAGGCCTAAAATTTAAATATATGCCACATACTGGTATATGTACGTGTATAAGCTTTAATCACTGCAGCCTTAATAGTAACTATGTTGATCTGTAGTCTGTTTATAATACAGTTGGATGTAGCATTGTTTTCTTTATAGTTTACGTTTACGTCGTGGTGTCGCCCCCCCCCCCCCCCCTTCCCCTCTTGATATAATTGTCGATTTTTACTTATAAGACTATTTAACTTAAATTCATCACTAATGGATCTGGAAAAAGAGATTTCATTCTATACATTTTGCAATTTTTTGCCTTTGGTGCCCCCTCCCCCCCAAAAAATGGTGTCACCCAGTCCGCACCCCCCGCCCCCGCGACGCCTCTGTCCTTAGGATATCTCAATCCTGTTTGTTTTTTACACAATGTAATAAATTTCGTCACTGTAAATAATGTCTTTTAACAAGAACCCTTTCGACGCGGTTCGCGAACTGGCTGATTTCCTGGGGAAAGGCGACCTCGATGACGTCACGATCTCACGCATTGTGACGCACTGCAGTTTCGAGAAGATGCGGGAAAACCCGATGACCAACCACCTGGATGTGTATTCCATCGACAGCTCTGTCTCGCCACTGCTGCGTAAAGGTATGGGGTTGTCAGCTGGTTGGTCTTGTAATAGTAGTATGGTTGGTCGCTGCTATGTAAAGGTATGGGCTTGTCAGGATGGTTGTTCTTGTAATGGTGTATGGTTGGTCGCTGCTATGTAAAGGTATGGGGTTGTCGAGATGGTTGTTCTTGTAATAGTGGTATGGTTGGTCGCTGCTACGTAAAGGTATGTGGTTGTCGAGGTGGTTGGTCTTGTAATAGTTAGTGGTATGGTTGGTCGCTGCTATGTAAAGGTATGGGGATGTCATGATGTTTGTTGTTGTATTGGTGGTATGGTTGGTCACTGCTACCTAAAGGTATGGGGTTGTCAGCTGGTTGGTCTTGTAATAGTACTAATAGTGGTATGGTTGGTGGCTGCTATGTATGGGGTTGGTTGTTCTTGTAATTGTAGCATGGTTAGTAGCTGCGAAGTAAAGGTATGGGGTTGTCAGTTTAGGGTAAGGGTTAGGGTTCCAGGCGTTTTAGTCAGTTTTAGCCTCCTTAGAAAATAGTCAGTAGATTACATTACTCTTTGGTCCGCTTATGAGACGGCGTGGTCGTGTGGTAGAGCGCACGACTGCTAACCTGAAAGTCTCGAGTTCGGAACTCGGGCTCGAGTCTGCAGGACGTCCCTGAGTCCACCCAGCTCTAATGGGTACCTGACTCACATTAGGGAAAGTAAAGGCAGCTGGGCGCAGTGTTAACCACACAATCCCTTCAAATGCCGGGGTCACAGAAACAGGTGAACTCTACTTCGTCTGCATCATGGACCGCCAGGACCAGAGTTAGGGCTAGGATAATAATATCAGCAAGAAATAGATTTAAATTCTCCATAACGACGAACCATGAATAAGGCTATATTTTTTAATTTACATATTTCAGGTATGGTAGGGGACTGGAAGAGACATTTCACGGTAAAACAAAATGAAGACTTTGATCAACTTTACTCAGAAAAGCTGGGCCAACTAAACATTCCCTTCAAATACCAACTGGATTAAAAAACCGCCGCTGCTATTTATTTTTTTAAGGCTGGCTACTGTTGTTTAGGTCAGGTATCGGCAACCTGCCGCTATTTTGATGTCAGGATGCGGCTCTCCAACTCCATGAACAAATATTAATAATTATACTATTTCATTTTCAAAACTCATAACAAATATTATACTGTAAAGAAAACCAACTTTAAACAAGATAAAAACACTCATTAGAGAACAGTGAGAGTAGGTGAGGTAGAAAGTATATGGACAGCTGACAGCCGCTTGGGCACCAGGCCAGAAGCGTAGCGACCCTTCCCGGCGCCCGGGGACAAACTTTCGATTTGCACCCATCCCCCTCGAACTTTTCATTTGCACACCCCCCTCAAACTTTCAATTTGGCGCCCCCCCCCCCCTAAGGTCGGCGCCCGGGGACATATGTCCCCCGCCCCCCCCCCCCTCGCTACGCCTCTGCACCAGGCCCAGCCCCACAGCCGTGCTGTGGACTGCCACGTGGCAACAATTCCATGCTTTTAAGTAACAAATCAAATTTTTTATCTAATCCAATTCAAATACCCTAATATTGAAATAATAATGTGGCTCTTTATAAACTGGGACATTTTGTATATTGTAATTTTTGGCTCTTCCGTCTCAAAAGGTTGCCGACCCCTGGTTTAGGTTATATTAGTATAGATTTAGTGATTTAAAATATGAAAAAAAAAGATATTTTTAAAACATTTTTCTTAAATTCTTGTTAAACCTAGACATATTGATTTGTTAATACTGTTTTAAAGCCGGTTTGATTTTGATTAGTTTTTAATCCTATGCATAACCTTTGAAGTTATATCTAAGTAAATTGCAAGTGAAATAACAAAGCGCAAATGAGGATGGATTGGGCACACCTTATGTAAACCAACCTGATCTAGTTACATCACCAGACAGGCATTCATATGATTGGAATCCTCAAAGAAAAAGGAAAATGGGTAGGCCAAAATAAACTTGGAAAAGATGTTGACAGAGCAATACATGCAGGCAAAATTTCATGGACCAAGCTTGGAGGAATCACTGTAAAACCCAGTACGAAGGAGATGTTTGGTGGTGGCTCCTGTTCTCTACAACTTACTACAAAGGGTCCTTAGGAATGATGATGGGGAATTTACAAGGGAGATAATCAGTAAAATATTAACTTCTTACTATAAATTTATTCTTATTAGGGTTGTAGATTTGTGCCTACTGTGTAGTTATATATTAACTCCACTGTATTTTAAATTGATATGTAATACTAAGTCCGTGTTTATCAAATTAATAACTTTAAAGTTTATGCCCCTAACGTTGAGATTTGAAGCGGCGGCAAAATGTAATGGTTTGACACTGAGATCGCAATACACTCACAAGAATGGTCTGGCCGAGTGATAGAGCTATCGGGTAGTAACTTGATAGTCCCTGACTATGATAGGTACCTGACTCCAGTCGAGGAAAGTGAAGTCTGCTGTGCAAATAACTGACCACAGAATTCGTTTATACAAAGAAACAGGTGAACTCTACTTTATCTTCCCTGTGCAATTTCAGGTCTGAAATAGTACTATATTAAGCTCATAATGAAGTACTTGCTGTAAATTTTGAATGGTCTGTTAAATTTTCAATTGAACTTGATAATTGTCTTACAATAATAATAGACTGAACATGTTTGAAAACAACTGACCGCGCGGTTGATCATGCTAGAATACTTGCAAATTTAGCACTGACGGTCCGGAAGCGTAATGAGGGCCGGGGTGTGAGGGGGGGTGTAGTGCCAAACGGGATGGGGAAAAATAGCTCAATCGGAGCTGTATTGCTAATTTATATACAGTCAAAGATAAGAAAATACACTGCCAGTTGGCTTTACTGAATTTATTTAAATGTATTCTGTATCAAAACTTTTTTGAGACAGAGACTGGTAAAAAATAGCCCCCGACCATTCAAAAGTCGGGGTGGGGGCTTTTTTCGCCAACGTTAATGTAACAACATGAATTCTTTGTTGTTGTGGGTTAGCTTTCATACAGGAACACGAGCAACAGTGACAACTTCAAATGACAACTTTATTTACACTATGTACAGATAAATCCGTGGTACATCCATATTTGAAGATCAACTGATATAGGTACAAATAATAATCACGACTCCAAGTCATGGAGACATCTTACATTCACTGCCATCGTTCCAGTCCCAAGTCCTAGCACACAACACACGTTCACCTTTCGCTCTCTCTTTTATTCGCTGCTTTCTATCCCTTTACGTCAATGAGCGATCTCCCCCAAAACACGGAAAAACACATGACGATCGCTCAGACAGTCCTTCCGCTAGCCAGGTACTCTTCATTCATGCAAAACACAATATAATAAAGATACATAATAATACAGTCTGTGACACGTCCCCCCTTCGAATAAAATTTTGTGTAACAAAATTTATAAATACAATATTAGTAGGGCAGGATCATGTGCCAGACAACAAAATTTATAAATACAGTATTGGTAGGGCAGGATCATGTGCCAGACAACAAAATTTTTTATACATCTCAAAAAACATGGAAAAATACATTCTTTGTAGACTAATGCACAAGCATTATGTGTAATATATTCAAATATGAGAAAGAAAAACATTTCAATTACCCAGTAATTGTAGTATAAACAAGATAAATGAGTTTAGTAAATTACCAAACTATAATACATCGTTGAAATTATCAAAGACTTAATTCAACTCATAATTTAAATAACTATATCCTACGTGGTAAAAAAAAACTTCCTTATCATCAAGGTATGTTATTACCACGCATGAGTAATATACTTTGTTGTCTCCCCTAGTCGACCCATTTCAGTCATATCTAGGTCACAACACAACATTCTTGCCTTTCACAGGTATCGACTAATACACAATCAGTGTTTCTTCCAGACTTTTTTCTCCGGGGGGGCACTTGAAATCTTCGGGGGGGCGGTAAACTTTCTTCGGGGGGGCGGACACTGTTATAAGTATATATTTTCTATATAAATTATATAAATTTTATTTCGTTCGGGGGGGGCGGTAAAAATTTTTCGGGGGGGCTTCGCCCCCCCGAAGAGATGCCTGGAAGAAACTCTGTACACAATTCATCATTGAGACTTCCGTCTTATTGTTATGCGGAATAAATAGTCTCTAACTTTTACTTTATACATTATTCCCTGTTAATTAATAGTATAGAATAGGTTTAACATAATACAGTTTACATTCTTTAGATATAGTACACAATTTATGTTTACTCAAACACATTATTTGATATTTATATATTACAGTTACAGACTGTATAATATTAATAAACTGTCAATTGATAATTTATCTTAGCATCCTCTATAGCATGAGTAATCGTTCTCGTGCAGTTGACGATGACCTGTATGCCATCTCTCCCTCAAATTGTAGCTTTTAGCTGTGCTACCATAATCATTTCCTAGATTTCGTGTAACTTGCGTTACTTCATTTGTTTTAATATTCTCCTCTGGTTTCTGAACGTCAGTAGTTATCTTGCTTTGTGTACGTTCGTTTGGTTCATCAATCAACTTAATATAAATATTATGGCATTGCTTTGGCCTCTCATAATATGTGTTGCGTCGGTAACTTCCATTAGTATACCTATTCACACTTTTGTTATTCTGATTTGAACTTGATACATTATTCCTTAAATTACTGTATTTCTCACATGACTTTCTGTGTACATAATTGTTTCTTCTCTGATTTGCCAACCTATGCCAACATTGATTTTGGTAATGACCTGTTTTTCCGCAGTAAAAACATCTAGATTTTGGCTTCTTATAAACATGGTGACTGTATTCATAGTTTGCTAAATTTCTTTTACTTTCATTCTGTGCATCAATGACATTATAATTTCTAGTTACTGTTTCATCTTTCTTAACTTCCTTGTGCTTCTTTATTGATTCTAATTCACACATAAATTTCTTTGTTAATTTCTCCATTTCTTTGTTAAATTTATTCTTGAGTTCTAGTATATCTTCTTTATAGTTTGATTCCAATTTTCGAAGTAAATCTTCAATAGGTACGTTCTCTTCATTGTGGCTTATTAAGTTCACTGATTCATTAATCATCATTAGTTTATCATGATTCCTGCCATTCTCCGATGGACTTATTAAATCATCACTGCCATTCACTGATGGGCTTATTAAATCATTTTGACTAACATTCTCTGATGGACTTGTTTCTTGTTGACTGCCATTCTCTGATGGACTTGTGATACAACTTTCAATAATATTCTCGTGTACCTGCGTATCATTTAATAAAGAGTCAATCTTAAGACATTCTAATGTATCTGTCACCTTTAAATCATTATTAAGTTCAACCTCTGTTTTTTCCTTGGGTTTCAATTCTTCCTGGACTATGTTACTCTGTTCTTCATTCCAAAGGTTGCCAATATTTACTTCTTCAAGTTCTGCTTTAAATTCTGTCTGTTCACTTTCTAATTTTGTTTCATTTGTGTCTGTTATAGCTTTCATTTCTAATAGTTCTTGTTTATATACTAGTTCATATAGGCCAACTTGTTTTTCCAAAGTTTCAGCCCTTTTATCTGCTCTTTGTTTTCTGTTTCTTTTTTTCCGCTTTCCTTTTAGTTGTACAGTCTCTTCTACTTTATCTCCATCTGACATTTCTTCTTCTTTTTGCATGTCTGTAATAGCTCTTGATCTATTACACACTATTTCTATCATATCATCTAGTTCTCTCAATACATTTCCATGAGCTCGTCGGGGTTGGTCTGTTTCTTCGTCCCATGCTTCTTTTGCTTCTTCTATGTCTTTTTCAAGTCGATTGGTTGCCCAGGCTATCTGCTTATTCATCTTCTTAATGCCTTGTGCCCTCGTCATTTCCATATATTCTTCCAGTTCTGTTTCATGCTTGTGCTTTCTGTCATCTTCTTCTCTTTTTGCTGCAATCTTCCTTTCATCATCTTCTATTTTCCAATTCCTTTCTTCTAACCTCCTAGCCCTCTCTTCTTCTTTTCTAGCCTTCTCTTCTTCTTTTCTCTCAGCTTTCGCCTTAGCAGCTTTCTCTTCTCTAGCCTTCTCTTCTTCTTTTCTCTCAGCTTTCTCTTTAGCAGCTTTCTCTTCATCATTCTTTAGTAGATCTTTTATGAACGCCAACCTGTCTTCCTTCGGAATGTCAAGTTCCTTCACTAGTGCTGTATATTTTTCAAAACTCGACAT